AATGCATAGATAAATATAGAGGCGGCTTATAAACCCAATGAAGATACTTCGGAGGTCTGAATCGATGAGGTTTAACTTAATGATAGGCGGCGCTAAGTTGCGACTTAAGAAAATATAATTTATTTTAAAAACAAGTGATTTCACTGTTCTTCTGTTAGATTGTGGAGGTTAATGTAGTAAATAAAATCTGGAAAAGCAAGGATCCTATTTTGCAAAGCTTAAAGGCTTAAGTCATACTCTGTTAAAAACGAGTTCAATAATAAAGCAGAAATGATTGGGATTCCATCAAACTCTAATAGGTACTAATTAAAGTATGCTGCGAGAATTCAAAAGAAAAGCGAATGTGGATTATTTACGGCCCCGGAAAAAATTCGCAGGCAAACCTTTATTTATTTATCAAAAAAATTATTTTGAAGGGCGTTGTTAGGTCAACTGATGCAATTCGAAAAATAGCCAAAATTTGATTCATCTTTTTCACAGCAGCGTCATAGAAAATGAAAGACATTGAGTGCATGACCGAGGGCGAATCAATGAACATTATTTTAGAATACAGGATGTTGTCTTAGCGATAAAAAAAAATAAAAGCAGGTATGTGAGTTGTCCAATTAACTTGCTATTCTCACTTAAACTCCAATAGCAAGCATTTATCAATTTGCAATTTTAAACTGAAACAGAAGGTACGCACTCGTCGTTCCGTGTTCTCCATTGAAATAGCTTGGGTCCAGTATCCGGGATGCTGGATATCACTGAAATAATCAGTTTTATGCAAGTCAGAAGTATTCAAATCTATCAACCCAGAATTGGGGCCCTCTGAGCAATAATTCCAGATGTCAGTATTAGGGGAGTCGGAACAGGGTTGCTGAAAACAGACGAGATGCGAGTCGGCCTGAATACAAAGATTCCCAGCCAGCGCCAAAAATGGGCTATTGCTATTCCGATTGGCAAGCATACGAGCCAGTTGGGAGTAAGAAGACCGTGGAAACTACAAATGGAATGCATAAGTGGAATGAATGATAATTAGATAATTAAGAAGATAAATGAAAAGGTTGAGGCAAAAAATAGAAGTCATTTCGAAAGGATCCTCTTGATTTTCTGAATGTAATGATGGAAATAGGAAGTTTTCAGGAAAATAATTAGTAGGGCATCACTCATGCATCAACAAGCAGGAATACAGGGTCTATAAGGTCTAAACAATAAAGAAGTTGATTTAACAGAGAAAAAATATAAGTGGAATGAGAAATAGATTCAAAATTAATGGTGTAAATCAGGATTCTGACCTCAACCAGGCGTATCAAAAGTACGTTATATGAGATGTTTTCATTCTATTCCGTTTAAGGTGATGTAAGACTGTTAGTAGAACTTCCCACAATGGTATGAGTAAAGCTGACGTTTCCATTGAATTTCACATAGCCTGGCTTTCCAAAAAGTTGTTCTAATTCAAGGTGGACCGCAGTTTCGACTTAGCCTAGGTCTTATCAACACCCCCAGCGGGAATCATACTGTGACAGTACACAATGTGACACGTTATGCACTCAGCAAGTACGAGTAACTTAGGGTCAGAGGGCATATGTGAATTTCAAGGAAGGCCAGGTTTTTCTTATATCACATTCTTTGGTAGGATTGTCGATGAAACAAGCGTATTTTGCTGAAGCAATCGACTACATTACTTATGTTGCGTATGTAAGCAAGGTTTCGAGACTACCAGTAAATCAGTTATATGAGGTGTAGTCTCTAGACTCTGCTTATAAATGGAAAATAAGTAATTTAGTCGCTTATTATAGCAAAAATATGTTTGCCCCTTGGGAAATCCCACCAATGAATGTGATATGGAAAAAACCTGGCCTTCCTTGCAATAAACATCTGCCCTGTAATCCAAGGGCATTCGTGGCAATGCGGCTGAGTGGTTAACACTGGGGGTATTAATAAGAGCTAGGTGAGGTGGAAACTGCAGTCTCATAGCCT